TTTTTTTTAAACTATGTTAAAAAATAACATCGTTCATTCACATGTATTTTTTGTTATTCAGAATGTAAAGTCAACCTAAATGTCAAAATCGATAGGGGATGTTAAATCAACTATGGTAGGTGATACTATGGATATACTATGCAAAGTTCCAAAACTGAGGTAGATTTTTATGTATTGATATGGAATGAAGCTCAGGATTTATTTTTAAACGAAAAGAACAGAATGGTATGTACAACGTGATCCTATTTATGTCCCCCCAATCTAGATATTATGTCCCCCCCATCATTGACAAGAGTGGCTCCCTTTGGGTGGAATTGGATGGGAATTGAGGGGATTTTTTTGACTTATTTGTATTGTATACAATACAATTTTTTGGTCAATTTTTAAGGCCAAGAATGAATTTCTGTATTGTTTGATTGAAAGTGAATTTTAGAAAAGAAATGTAGTGAATGTAATGGTTCAGTTAGCTTTTAGCATTGAAATTAAAAAATATATTTTTATTTATTTTTAAGGGTAATACATCAAGGAGAATGACTAAATGGAAAAAAGCGTGGGAGCTGATTCACATTTGAAATAGTTGGAAAACTGAATGTTACTTTTTTTTTTTTTTTTGGCCTGGAGACTCCCAGTGTTGGAGGATGTAGTCGTTGTTTTCAATTTTTTGAAAGGCTGTCAAATGGAAAACATTTTATATTGCTCCAGGCATCAGAACTTATAGCACTGGAAGGAAGTAAAGGGAAGCCGATTTCACCGAAGGCAGAACTTTCTAACCTTTAGAGCTGTCCAACAGTGGAGCGGGCTATCTCACTTAAGATAGTGAGCTCCCTGAAATTCGAACTGTGGAAATATAAGTTGGAAGACGGGGGCACCTGGGTGGCTCAGACGGTTAAGCGTCTGCCTTCCGCTGGGGTCGTGATCTGCGGGTCCTGGGATGGAGCCCCATGTCGGGCTCCTGGCTCAGCGGGGAGTCGGCTTTTCCCTCTGCTTCTGCTCGCTCTCTCTCAAATGAATAAAATCTTTAAAAAAAAAAAAAGTTGGAAGACCATCTGGCTGGAAGATACAAGAGAGAATTCCTTCCCCGGGCCGGAGTTGGACTAACGACCTTTAAGGTGTCTTCCAATTCTGAAGTTTCTATGACTATTGAGCTCCGTTAACTTGACATTTGAATATACCTGAGTTATTTTTGTAAAATAAAATTTTATCAGATAAATCAGTCAACTTAAAAAACTGTATGGCCAAATTTACAGTAAGTAAGATAAAACGAGGACTGGGAAATCAGGTTTAAAACTGAAAATCCAGATACCCCTGAAGGCAACTTGCGAAACTTTTAACAGAAAGGGAGGGATGGTGTGTCTGTGCGTGCGCGTGTGTGTGAGTCGAGTGATGTGTCCTGGGCAAGTGACACTTGTTACCGAAGATGCTAATGCGCTAAATCTTTTACTTTACACGTACTTGCACAGGAGTGTTTTTCACACCCGGCAGCACCGTACGCGGAAGCGAGGTCGCGCGTCTGATGAGGAACAATTTTCCGGAAGGCGCTTCGCCGTACCGCAGACGCCCACGACCGCTCCAGCCGGTGGCCGACTGGGCTGGCTGAAGCGGAAGGACCGCTCTGGCCGCCCGCGCGAACCACCAGTCCCAGGGGCCCCCGCGGCGCCGCGCACGCGCGATGGCGTGGCGGCAGCGCCGCCGCAGGACGCAGGAAAGCCAGCTAGCGAGTAGTGGCGGCGGCGGTGGCGGCCGTGGTGGCAGTTCGCGACGAGGGTGACGGCTCCGAGGCCGAGTGGCGGTGCGGCGGAGACCTGGGTGCCTTCCTCCGTGTGATCCCGGTGGTGAGTGCGCGTCTCCGGTTAACTCGCGCGAAGTGCGCGGCTCGCTGCCTGGCGGCCGGGCTGGTCTGGCCTAGGGCCGCAGCCTGCGCCTAATGGCCGGGCCACCCAGCCCAGCTGACCCCCTGCGCCCTTCCCTCCCGTGTCGGTAGAAGTGGGGGTAGGGGGACACACGGTTAGGCCCAGGGGACAGATGTGGCGGCGCCCAGGGGCCAGGGCGGCCGGGGGCAGACGGGAGCGGGGGGAAGGGACCGGAGAACGGCGGGGCGGCTTCGGGTGGGGGCCCCAGGCGAGCGACCTGGCAGGTAGAGAACTGAGCATAGGAGGCGAGAAGGAGGTGGAATATCTTCTGAGTGTCGCAGGTGAAGATGTCATGCTTCGGGGACTCTTGACAAGCTGGACTCATGGGTCTGGGGGCAGCCCACCTTGGAAAAACACACACACACAGTATACTTGGCATCTTTCCACTTGCTTTTGGATGTCTTGGAAGTGAGGGACTGTTGGTTGCTTCCATCTCCTTTCCTTCAACTTCACCTTTTATTGACTGTCAAATTTAAATGGGTGCTGGCTAGGCAAACCATAGAAATAAACAGTGTTCTGTGTATAAGTCTGTGGAAAAACAGGCATGGTGATATGTTCAGATGAGAGCTAGGCCAAAGGAGGAGGAATCATTGTTTTTATTTTAAAATTTGTGACAGCAGTCAGTTTGAGCACAGCTTTGAACTAGAAAGTATTTTAACCTGGGAATTCACCAGTTGGTGGACAGAATATAGGGGATTTTTGAACTAGAATGGGGATAAAATCACATCTATTTTTATTATCTGGTAACTAATTTATTTGTTCCTTCAATTATGAATGCAGGCAACAAACCACAGTGGAATTAGCAATGCCTGTGACTTTGTCACCAATAAAAATTACAAATATTTTTATATCATGTTTACAGTTTTTGCATATATCTCAGAATATCACTTATGCTTATAATTTTTTTGAATTTATGGCATTATTAAACACACAGATCTTGTTATTTAATGTGATGATAAAACTGCACATATATTACCAAATCACTATATTTAAATAACAGTTCTGTATAATTGGTTTCTTTCATAATTTCATATGTTTAATTATGTATTTAAAAGCAATCTGAGGGGCGCCTGGTTGGCTCAGTTGGTAGTGTGTGCGACTCTTGATCTCAGTGTCGTGAGCTCCAGCCCCACGTTGGGTGTCAAGATTACAATCAAGAAAATAAAAATAAAAATCTATCTGAGAGAGAGTCCATAGGCTTCACCAGACTACCAAAAAGATCCATGGTGCAAAAAGATTAAGAACTCCTGAGGTAGAAGTGTTTGGGGATCCATAAGTCAGCCTGGAAGGATATTTGAATCTTCTTATTTATTTATTTTTTAAGAAAAGACAAGGCAAATAGGATTATAGTATAGATGAAAGGGAATTTTGTACACAGAGAAGTAAAAGACGATTTGGCTGGGTCACAGTAATAATTTTGAAAGATAGACTGCAGATACTTCATTCAGGGGAATCAGCAAAATCTGAGGAAAAAAGGGAAGTGAATATTTGGCCCTTAGATTTTTGTAGTAAGGCACCGCCTAGTTCTAAGTGGTTGAAGCCTTCTAAGCTCTTGTGTAAGCCTGTGAAAGGAAATTTTAGTGCGTGCTGGTTTTCTTTAAATCATGTAGGTAGTGTGGCTTTTAAAGAGGGGGATATTCTTTTTTTTTTTTTTAAAGATTTTATTCATCTGAGAGAGAGAGAATGAGTGGGGGGGAAGGGGCAGAGGGAGAAGCAGACTTCCTGCTGAGCAGGGAGTCACGTGGAAGTGGGGTTCCATGTGGGGCTCGATTCCAGGACCTTGGATCATGATCTGAGCCCAAGGCAGACGCTTAACCAACTGAGCCACCCAGGTGCCCCAAAATTCTAATATTTTTGTCCTTAAGTAAAAACCACAGGATCTTTCTTCAGATATATTTTCCTATTGCTATTATTCTTTTCATATATGATAGAAAGTAAACGTGCAGGTGATAGAGTTGGGAGAATTAGTAAATCATTTTCTCAAAATTCCATTTTAAATTCTTACAGTTCAGTTTTATTTTGGCATCAGACTTCTCACTGACAGATCACAGTTAACTTTTTTTTTTTAAGATTTTATTTATTTATTTGACAGAGAGAGAGACAGTGAAAGAGGGAATACAAGCAGGGGGAGTGGGAGAGGGAGAAGCAGGCCTCCTGCTGAGCAGCACCCTGGGACCACGACCTGAGCTGAAGGCAGACGCTTAATGACTGAGCCACCCAGGCGCCCCAGTTAACAATTTTTTAGAGTATATGGGACTTGAAATTTGCAACTGTTTGTAAAGCACCTGTCGTGATTTTTTTTTTTCCCCCTCTAAAAAAATAGCAATAGTGGAAAAACCACTACAGCAAACTTTTTTTTTCTGGGAAAAATATAGGGGGGTATGGAAAAGTGAAGAAGAGTATTTTGTGAAAAGATATTGGTGCTGAAATAGTTTATGTTGAATTGAACACACCATATGACAAAAATCACTGTCTTGGAGAGATATGCCTGGTACTTTGTCCTTACGCTGTCTCCTTTGTCATTCTTTGTCCCTGCCCTTTATTTTTTTAATAGCATGTATTTATCTGATATCATATTATTTGTATACTAGTCTTGTAAATTTTTGTCTCCCCATTAGAATGTTAGCTCTGTGAGAATAGGGACTTTGTCTTTGCCACAATGCTAGAATAGTGGCTGGCACATAACAGGTACTCAGTAAATACTTGATGAATGAGTAAATGAGTTAATTTATAAGAGCTAGGTTATTTATTTCTAGGAATAAAATACCTATTTTTTAAAATCTTACAAATAGTATTATGTTTGCTGGGTTGAATTTGAACCTTTTCGTCTTACTTTTTTTTTTTTTTTTTTTTAAGATTTTATTTATTTATTTGACAGAGAGAGACACAGCGAGAGAGGGAACACAAGCAGGGGGAGGGGAGAGGGAGAAGCAGGCTCCCTGCAGAGCAGGGAGCCCGATGTGGGACTCAATCCCAGGACCCTGGGATTATGACCTGAGCCGAAGGCAGTCGCTCAACCGACTGAGCCACCCAGGCGCCCTCATCTTACGTTTTTTAAAAGACAGATTATTTCCCAAACATTATGCAGTGCTTTTGTGGGCATTTGGTTTCATGTGGGGACTAATCATTCTTAGTACTTGCTGCCATGTGGGTTTGATTATCCTGAACGTTCTACAATGATGTGATAAAAGGAAGGGTTTGTAGATGAAGTTTTTATTTTGCTAAGGTTCTTTTACTTTGTGATCCTAGGTTGGTATAAATGACACTGAATTTTTCACATCAGATTGATAAAAAAATTTTAATGTCTGACAGTATCAAAGTTAGTGAAGATGTCTCTGAAAATGGTAATTTAGAAACTGCGGTGGGACAGTTTCTATGTAGGACAGATTCTAAACGATGTAGGAGTTTAAATGGGTACAGCTGCCTTGAGGGACAACATTTGCAGTTATTTAGTAAAGTTGAAAATGGGCATACCTTACCTCATAATTTTGCAACTTCTAGAGGGCTCTAAGAATGGGTGGAGGTGGTGCAAAGGGGATGATACCGTAAGTTTTCTTTAAAGACTAAAAGCAACTATGATGATGTTAACAGTTAATTCTGGAAGGCAGAATACAAGTGCTAAGTCATCTTTGCACCTTTCCCTATTTTCTGTTGATTTTGTTGTTTTGAATCCATAACTTTTTTTTTTAAAGTAATTTCTACACCCATGTGGGGCTTGAACTCTCGACCCCGGGATCAGGAGTTGCATGCTCCTGTGACTGAGCCAGCAGGCACCCTCCCCCCCTCCATAAATTTTAAGTATTGTTTCCCAACTCTTTGAAAAATTGTAAGCCTACAGAAGAGTTGCAACAGTAGTATAATAATACCTTTGTACTTCTCATCTAGATTCCATAGTTGTTAACATTTTGCTGTGCTTGCTTTATGCACTAGTAGACACATTTTTTGCTGAACCCTATGGGAGTTAGGTATAGATACCATCAGGACACTTTACTCTCTAAATACGGGTATGTATTTCCCAAGAACAAACACTTTCTTCTGCATATTTGCAGTTTAGTTGTCACCCTCAAGAAATTTAACATGGATATAATATTATTCTTTAACGCAGAGTACCTATTCAAATTTCCCCAGTTGTCCTAATACTGTCCTTAGATATTTGGTTTTGTGTTTGACCCAAGATTAATTTAAGGAGCTTGCATTGCTTTTAGTTACCTGCTTGAATCTGGACTGGTTTTCCAGCCTTTTGGAGGGGGCGGGGTGGAGGGTGTCTCTCATGACCGTAAGTATCCAGACCAGTTGTTTTGTAGGATGCCCCTCAATTTGGATTTGTCTGAATGTTTCTGCATGATCAGATTCAGGTTAAACATTTTTGGTTGGAATGCTGTGTAGTGGATTTTAGGTCTCAGTGTATCCCATCAGAGGCACCAGATGTCAGTTTCATTATTGATATAAATTTGATCATTTGAATAAAGTAGTATCTACTAGATTTATATTGTAAAGGCACCCTTTTTCCTTTGTAATTAATAAGTAATCAGTGAAGTGATTTATGTTATTTAAGATTTATTTATTTATTTTAAGAGAGAGAGAGAGCATGCACTTGTGTGAGCGGGAGGAAGGGCAGAGGAAGAGGAGAGGGAGAGAATCTCAAGCAGACTCCCCGCTAAGCATGGAGCCCAACATGGGGCTTGATCCCACAACCCCGAGATCAATACCTAAGCCAAAATCAAGAGTTCAACGCTCAACCAACCAAGCCACCCAGGTGCCCCGTTCTTTTATTTTTTTAATGTAAAAAAGTCTTTTTTCCCCTTTTTAAAAGATTTATTTATTAGAGACAGAGACAGAACGTGAGCAGTGGGGAGGAGGTAGAGGGAGAAGGAGAAGCAGACCCCCCCACTGAGCAGGGAGCTTGATGTGGGGCTCGATCC